CCCTCATCCCTGCTGATCCTCTATACATTTCCCCTCATCAAAACGCTCTCTCCTAGGAAGAGAAAGCCTCCATCACTCTCTTCTGACCCCCTCTCAGCCCCTCCCCCATATTGCTGCCGCACAAAACCCCAGCCTTTCCTTTTTGCATTGTTTCACTGTGTCCCCTATTGTCCGAGTAAAGAGAGAAAGTTGGGAGGGGGGGCAGAGAAGAAAAAGAGGGGAGGAGGGGAGAATGTTCCCTCTCTGTTCTCTGGGCGGGGGTCAACCCACATCAGGGTGTGGAAATTCCATTTCCTGCTTTTCTCCAAGACTTTTCCATTTACTCGTCTCTTTCCTTATCTCTGTTAGATATTCTCCTGGTATTATGTGCCGTTCTAACCTGATAAAACACACAGAGCATGTCTGAAGCATTAAGACACACAAAGGATTTACTTTATTTTCATTTTAGTTTGTAGGGGCAGGTGGCAATAACACCATTTCAGGCAATCACAACAAAACCATCTGAATAGGTATTTCTTTACCCAAACTACAACTCCAGCAATTTGCAAGTTTATGGTTACTCATGTTTTCAAGGCCTACCGAATTGTTATGAACCAAGAGCAAAACACTCTGGAGTTCTGCTTTTATCCAGCGTATTTTTTCCTTGCGCTCTTCAATGCTTTAAACGTCTGACATTTATGGTTAAGGAGGTAAAGGGCGCAACTCCATCGGCTTAATTTCTATATAATGGACTTATATAGTAATAATATAGTACTTTGTGAATCTACATGAGGCATTAATTTAAAGCGACATGTTTTGCAAGGAAGTACATTTAATCCCAATATTCACTCTCCTTTTAGCTCTAATTTGGTCTCCACCATCTCCTTAAGCATATGTTATTTAGTCTACAGAGGCATACAGCCTTTCACTAAAAACACTGGATACAACATATTGATTACAGCTAAATATACAATATACATTTTCCTGAACAAGCAAGAGGCAAATGACACAACACCAATCATGTTCATCCAGCATTTCTTTATCCCTCTTTCTACTTTCCCCCTTTCATCCATCTCCATCCATCTTTCACCCTTCTCCATGTGAAGTGATTTGCATTCATAACATGCTTAGTGCTGACGGAGCTGATGTGTGACACCTGTCCTCTGAGGGAGGAGCTTTTTTTATCACATCAATCTTCCTTATTGGTATGGAAACCATGTCTAATCCCCAGTTGGTACACAGACTAATGTATTAAACATACAGTCATTGATTACAGATGGCAAGCCAACATCTTAGAGGACCCCCCTCAAACAAAATCCCATTTCAAACCTCTGGCTGCCATTTTGTATTTTGAACAATTTACTATATTCCTAATGTAGGTGTACCACATGTTTGGAGAGAACTTAATTGGCAAGAAAAACAAGATATATTCACAATCAAATGTCACTATTATATAATAATGTTACTGTCTGTGTTTAAAAGCCACCAAAGCTAACAATACAGCAAGCTAGTAGCTAAGACGATGCAGGAAATCCAGAGGCATATTGACTGTGGACAAAGATAAAGCCACTGTGAATATGTACATTTGTCTCAAACATATGAAAATGTATTTATACAATTAAAATGACAATATATTTACTAATTAGGTTTTTAAAACATCTATGGCCTCCTATACTCTGAAAATGTCACACCATTCGAGGGCAGCAATGTTTAACTGCATATATATATGGAACGAATACCATGGCACTATCAAATATTCCAGCCCAGTCTCACAAAAAAACGTGTAATATCTACGTTGATCCAGAGGGCAAGACATACTATGTTCACAAGTAACCCTCTCAAAACGTGACATGGCTACAAGTGAAGATGGCATTATTTGTATCTGTGTATCCCTCCAAAAAATACAGATGATTTCTCCACCAAGGTCATCTCTGATCCTCATCTAACAGCCATATCAAATCTGCAGGGAAAGCTGTCTGGGAACACATTCATAAAAACACGCCAGTAGTTACACACAC